GGGATATTTCCAGGTATATGCTCAAGTACTTGAGTAAAGGCAGCTGCCTATTGGCAGAAAACACCAACTTGTAGTCAGGATTCACCTTGCAGCCAAGTACTGCACTGAATGATGAGAAGCTAAACTAAAATATCCACTCTGTTCCCATGAGGATGCCACTCTAGGACACACCTTCTGCCACTGCAGACCCAGTCATAATGACAGATCCTTCTCTTGTCTGGTTACTCCCGGTACAAAAATCAAAACTATATTTATAATGATTATTCCAAAATTATTCCATAATTTTATGGAATAATGCATTACATTAAAAATTATAATTATAAAATATACTATTATAAATATTATATATACAGTAATGCACAAGTATACACTGGAATCTAGAAGACTATCAAGGTGGGAAAGAACAGAGTAGCAGTTGACAAGGATATGGGTTTGATCTCTTTATCCATTGAGAAATGCAGAGTTACTATGGTGCCACCTTCAGGGAGACAACAGTTTAATTGTTCGATTTTTGTCAGCATGGTATTAGGGTCTGGGGCTTTTTTTGTTTTCCACAGAATTCTCCTTGCAGTAAAACTGTCATCAGAATTTGCAAAGCAATCCAGAGCAGTAGTTTAAACTTTATTCCCAGGCAGCCTATTTATACTGTAAAGCTGTCTGACTGCATTCATAACTCATACAATGGCAAAATAAATTAATAAAAGGTATCACCATTATTATACAAAGCAAAATTCAGCAAACTTCCTCAATTTACATTACCTAAAAAGAACAACGAAACCCCCAACAGCATAAATTATAATTTTTGAAATGAGATTACTTGAGCCTAAGATATCCATGAAGCGATAAAAATAGTTCTTTACACTGGGCTGAATATTTTCTAATATCTTATAGATAAAGGAAAAAAAGTCACAGTAAAAGAACTGTGTTTCTCTCCTAACAGAGGACCATTTTTCTATCTTTTTCTTTGGTAAGCAATGAAGCATTCTAAAATATATAGAATATAGAGAGACTATATAGCCTTTATGCTGTCTATATGATATATTGACACTTCTACTGTTAACTATTTTTAAATGAATATTGAAAGAAGATTGATTTTATTGGAACAATGAACAAAAGTTCCAATTTGAACAAGACCTCAGTACCACCTGAGTTCCCTGTCAGTAGATTTATAGCTCAAATTAATTTCTTTGGGGAGAAAAATATATTACTACAACCATGAGAATTTTAATGTTTTTAAACCAGTCAGAGTCAAACACACATGCAAATGTACACATACAATATACACATAGCAAACAACAAGCAGGTGAGATAGTAGGCTTCTGAGACTAGTCATAGGCAGAATTTAATACTGCTAGAGATGTTTGGTTTTCAGGTATAAACTTACTAGTAAGAAAGAAGTGCTCACTGCTGTAGTTCTTCTGTGGTAAAACAAGTCTCTAAACATAAGGAATTTTCAGGGTTTTTTCAGGGGATAATTCATCTGCAGGTGAGATCAGAAAGCTGATCAAAACTGAAATGCAGGTTTTGCAGTTTAGAGCAATGGACCCTGGAAGAAATTGCACTTATAGTGTCCTTCCAGGAATCTAGAAACAGATTTGTTTAATTCAAACGTTATGGCAACAGATATGTTTTCTGAACTCTTGTTTAGTCAAAAAATAGTTAAATACATATTTATATTTATATTATTTATATATAAAAAAGAAAGAGTGACTTCTCAGCCATTCTGTCAGTGTGGAAGGTCTAAATTCCTGCAGACAGTGAGCCTAATGCCTGTTGAGCAGCACTCACTGACTGATTTCTTGCCCTGGCACTGCTACCATCTCTTTCTAGTCAAGCTGTTTCACCCCAGCTTATGCCAAAAACCATATTTTGTCCTTCTAGGCATTAAGCTTTTCCAGGTGGGAGTTACCCTAGACAAAGAGTCAGTATAAGGGTTCAACTCCATCTGAGGTGAAGGTGTAGGTCATTCTGTAATGCAACATTTATCATTGCTAATAACAGAGAAAAGTTTTCCATGCAAACAACTCCCTGCCAGCTTGAAAAATACAGAACTGTGCTTCTGTGGAAAAAAGAGCAGGTAGAAAGAGGAGGCATATCCACAGGCTACAAGGGCCTGTGATCACCAGCTTGTCTTGATGTCTTATAAGTTTCTCTGTTATAGCTGCAGAACTGTTCTCAGTAACTTAATGAGAAGGTTTCTGCTTGTTAAAGTTACCTATCACCATTATTACTCAATCAATTACTCAAGCACACCATATATCTTGAAACAACAGAGGTCACTGGCTTCATTATAATGGGAAATACACTTCCAGTCTATTAAGGTTCATATTACTGAAGGGATATTTCAGTGCAGTCATATCAAACTTACTGAGCCCACTGCAGACAACCACCCGCCAGCATTTAGTTATATATAGTACTGAGATTTTAATTGAAACAAGGCTTCAATTCAACCAGCTTCTATTTCCATTTATGTCTCATAGGTGTCACATAATGCGGTACTTCTGTAGTTTTCAGTTTGGTCTGCAGGGTTATTAATTTAAAGAAAAAAATCCATTAATTTTGACTGAATAACAGTTTAATTCCATCCTTGCCTCTCCTAGATTAAAACACCCTACACAGCTAACACACATAATTTCCCAAGCCACTCTTTGTTGGCACTTGGACTGTGGATTGTCTTGATGCCTGTCAGTTGTCTGCTAGAAGTTCACCACTGCAATGTTAAGGAACCCCAAAATTTCTGTTCTGTGTTGGTAGATTTTACCTGAATTTAACACAAGTCAACTATAAATTTTAAATGTTTGAGTTTGGTTTTTTTTCTTTGACTTAATAGACATCTGTATGAGTTCTAAGTGTACAACAAACTGGTTTTATATCATGTAATTTGAGAAACATCAATATATAGAACAATAAATAGGAATAGTAAGAGGCATCCATTAAATGACTGAAATCTGATGTGTTGTGAAAACAAACACCCTCAGCAATAGCAGAATGTTTGGATGTAGGCTTGTTGGAAGTGGGAAATTAGTGATAGCTACCAAATCGACATGATGTATATCAGGCATATCTTAGACCTCAAGCATTATGGTGTGACTTACTGGAGATGACATTTGTCATAGCTCCACTTGGATAGAAGATGGCTTGAACCTTTAAATATTTTACTCACATCTGAACGGATCTTGTTCTATAGAGACAAAATTCTTAAAAATGTCAGCGCAAGGGACAAAGTCTGACTGTTATACTCAATTCATTTTATATCCTGAATGGATATAAAAAAGATTCTATATATATGAGTGTGTGTGTGTGTGTGCATTTCTATTTATAAATTTTTAGATATATATCTTCTAGAAATATATTAAAAATACATAAGAAAGATTTCTATTTATTCTCATTACCTGTGTGAACTAAAAATATAACAATCCGTGGGCCTTAACTACAAATCACTTTAATAGGTTTTTGTTTACTGACAAACCTTTGTGTCTTTGTACATACTGCTAAAAGGCTTTGATTAAAATTACTTCTATGGTGTATTCTTGCAATTTACAATGAAAGCCTTCCTCTGACAAGTACTGCCTGTGAGAAACTTGGGTGTTGCCTATTACCTTTTCCTCTCAGAAGAAGCTCTTATTGAATGTGCTGTAGTGTTTCTACAGTTATTCCTACAGTGAAAAGTACAAAAAAACCCCAACAGCAACAAAAAAGAAATGAAGATAAAAGAAAAATAATGAAGAATAATCATATAACATATTACAGCAGATCAATCCTACCTACCTTCCACAGTGTTAGATGATTTCAGGGTTGGGAATATGCTTGTGTTATTTCATAGCAAGCAAACAGGTTTGCTTCAGCTCCTTCCATGTTAAACATGGTTGTATTTCATGCCCAGTGTTTGTCACGCAAAAGGAAAGCCAAGAGGCTTTACTCATGTGGTTTCCATTCCTCCACACAGGAGTGCATATGCTTTTCCTTCTTTTAAGGGAAGGCTCATTTAACTTGGAATTGTGTGAACCAGTTGGATTAGAGACTGCACCCAGAAGCTGAACCTCCCTAAACCAGATAAATCAAGAGCTTCCTTCTTTGCAGTACTTATATAGAAGGATTAGGATAAAGTGTACAAAGATTCTCTAGTAGAAAACAAAAGGGAGGAGAAGGTAATTATATTCCTAAAGAGAAAGAGGGAGTTTGATTAGCAGAGGTCATAAGTAACTGTTTAAAAATACAGAGTAAAATTAGTTCTAAATGGCAATTTTTTTTGTGTTTTCTAATATATTGCCAAATTATTTCTCTTAAAGTACAGGAATAGAAGGTACATATTTTGTAAAGATTTTATTTTTTTAGGTACAGCAAATATATTTTTTCTGAAAGAGGAATAACAAAAGTTTTGGGCATACTCTCTTGAAAGGTATACATTATTTTTTGTACAAGTACTGCTAAATTAGAAATAAAACATCATGTATTTGTTCTTCATCATTGTGTCAACAGAATAATAAAGAAATAATAATAATAAAAAACGTTGCTTTTGAGACAGATACATCAGATACAACAGAGCAACAGATGGTCAGTCTTGCGATTAGAAGTTAGTCTCAGTAATTAAACAATGATGTTACACTCTATCTCTGAAAGTGGGGGGGATTTTTGTTTTGTTTTCATTTTTATTTTTTTTTTTAGAGTTTTAAAATTGTATCTTAGTCTATTAATACAGAACTTATTTTAAATGCTGTGCTGGCCATTGTTTTATTCTGGCCTGTAGAATTGTGTTTCCCCGCAGCTTTACATTGCACACTGCTGCTGTAGGCAGCAAATTGGTGGATTATCTTAACTGCTGCTCTTACTCATGTAAATGGCAATGTGTTGCAAAGGTGGGATGGTCTGCTAGGGTAAACTGCAATTCATATACTGAGTTTGTTGTGAGGAAAATATGAAGACTGATATCAAGATATCAAAATTGCTAATGCTATCATTTCAGAAGGTGGGCCTGAAAATCTGGAAAATACAGAGGACGTGAGACAATGAGGATGAAAAAGAAAGGAAAATAACGTTTCTAACATAGGTCAAAATAAGTGACAACAATAATGCCTTTATAGAGAGGATACAGTTCTCTGTGTGTGAGACACTCTTGGTAAGTTACACACAAATGTTTCAGCATCCTGATTTTACATCAGCCAGATCCTGCTTGCCCTGAGTTTCTGCACAAAGTTCAGATTACAATTGAAACTGTTCACACTGGACAGAAGCAACACGTGGAAAAGGGTTCTGAAAGAGAGGGCCACATCTGCTATATGGGGAGACGGCTGGTTTTGGAGGATGAAAACACCTTTTGTGGGGAAGTAGTCTTTACGGTTAGTTTGCCCTGTGTGTATAGTGCTTATAGTTCTCTTTTTCTTCTCTGTGTAAATATAAAACCACCTTTCTCAGCAGCCTCGGTTTTGCAAGTTTTTTTTCCTTTCCCCCCTTCCCTCCTCCTTCTCTCTCTCTGGGGGGGAGGAGTTGGGCAGACTCTCGGTGGACACTGGGCATTCAGCCAAAATAGATGATAACAGATAAACAAATAAACAAATAAGTAAACTTCTTATATTCATTTGATAGTATTCTACCTGGTTCTAGCAGGTGGGATTTTTCAAAATATCATATTGGTTTTGTGTAGGGTAGAATTAATTTTCTTCATAGTGGCTTGTATGTAGCTGTGTTTTGGGGTTGTGTTGAAAATAGTCTTGATAACACATTAATGTTTTGGTTTCTGCTGAACAGTCCTTAAACAGAGCCAAGGTCTTTCTGCTCCTCATTCCACCCCACTGGTGAGGAGGCAGTGGCAGAAGCTGGGAAGGGACATAATCAGGATAGTTGACCCCAACTGTCCAAAGGGATACCCTGTACATTACGGTATCAAGCTCAGTCATAAAAACTTGGGGGAGAGGAAGTATGTCAGGGCTGTCACTGCTTGGGGACTGGCCAGGCATCAGGTGGGTGATAGTGAGAAATTCAAGGGCTTTTTTTTCTCACTTTTTTTTTTCCTTTGTTATGTTGGGGTTTTTTGCAGAGGTTGAGATTTCTGTTTGTTGTGGTTTTTTACTTATTAAACTGTCTTTATCTCAAACCAAGAGTTTTCTCACTCTTACTTTTCCAGTTCTCTCTATAATAGTTGAACCATAACTGACACACATGAAGTTGCAATGTCCATCCACTTCTGAGAGAGATTGAGTAGAGGCAGGATTGAAGTCCAGTGAATGAAGATCTCAGAAAACAGAGCTGGTGAAACAATGGGTGAATATGGATGTTTCTTTTGAAATTACTAATAAGTGGGAGTAGAAATTATAATCATGAAACAGCTATGAGACATTTCTGTTCCATTGCATCTCATAAAAGAGACGGTAGAACAATCTTTTTTCTTACAAGAAGGCAAATGTTTTTCTACTCTCCTTAATTAGATTGAAGGAAAAGCACCATTTATTAATCAAAACTGTCCAGTGAAAAAGATTATTGTCTTCCAGGGGGACTTGGCCTGTAGTTATGTTTTGAAGGGAATAAGAGCCACAGCACTTTCTATTTGGTGCTTTATTTAAATACCATCGGGTTTTTTTGGCCTTAAAACTGAGCAAAATATTCTTGTTTACAAGCACATCAAATCAGCTCTGAAGGGCTCGGTTCCAAGTATTTTGTTCCCTTGTACAAAACTCTTTTTCCTGTAATTTCTTTTATGAAAAGCTTGCAACTATGTGTAAAGTATCTAAAACTTTATATTTTATGGGAGGGACTGCTGCTGTAGCTGTAGCATCTTTGGTTTTGAACATTCCCTCACTTGCAGGGTGAGTGTGGGCTTGCAGTGTAGCAGACCAATTGATTGAATCACTCTAGGCAAGAGAATCCAAGGCTTTTGATGTTGGTCTTCATTGACCTTTGAAAAACTTACTCCCCTGGGTTCCTGTGCTAAGATATTTATATCCAGTATAAAACTGTCTGTTTGTCATTTTTCTTTTAAGGAAGAATAAATGTCAGCTATTGGACATATGACCACCACACACACAGAAAGCCACAGATCCATCATGATCCCAAGAGTTTTGTTTCTAAGAAATCCTTTTCTTCGCTTCCTCACAAAGGAGATCTTCTGAGACAAGGTCTATTGATCATGTCGATAGATGGTCCTATTGCAGCAGGATTGGTAACTTCCTTTTGTAGATCTCAGGTCATGAAAATTTTAAGTCCCTTTTCAAATGAAATCTGACAATGAATTTGAATGTATTAAGTACTCAGATTCTCCTAGAAGAATTTTTTTTAAAACCGATGGCCTGTCAAAAGATCCAAGTAACAGTGCATTAGGACTTAAAGAGCACAGTTACTTGTCTCAAAACTGTCAAGGCCACAGAAAGAACTTGCCATAAGATAACCCACCACAGAGGGAACTTCAGATAAGCACAGGGGGGAGAAATTAGCACAGGAAGGTGCTAATTCCAGGACTGATGGAGGTGAGATCTGATTTGTACATCCTGGTTAATGCATCCAGATAAAAATTCCCACTGGAGCAAACTGTGGGAAAGGAAGCAATTTCTCAGACACATGCCACCTCGAGTTATGGGAACATCTGTGACACCCTATGGATACCTGGAACTTGAACTGTGTAAAGGTGGGACCCCCAGGATTACTCTGGAACCCCCACATCAAGAAATCCAGGGTAAGAAAGGATCAGTGGGATGCCACTGGATCCAGAGGTGGTGACTATCTTCTGCTTGATGTCTCTCTACCTCCCCCCTCTTCTTTTCTGCTTCTTTTTATGACTACCTCACATTTACTGTTAAATAACATCTGTATTATTGATTTCAGCATATGGTCTCATTTGTACCTTAATTCGGGTAGAAGCATCTCTCACTAATCAGATCATAACACAGTAGTCTACCTCAAAGACATTATTAATATCAGAATATTGTTAATTCAAAATAAAAGTGAAATGTCCTGTAGTTTGAGGAAATGGTGAAATTGGAGCTGAGAATAAATTATTTAGAATATGGGTATAAAGTACCCTTGGGATTTCTGGAAGGCAAGGTTTAGACTGTAGAGTATCTGCATTAGACAGATCTGCATTAGACATGGTCCTTTTCAAATAAATATTATGTTAATTGAAATTTTCCCTCTCTAGTTTTATTTTGGGCTAAGGTGAAGAAGAGGGTCAATAAAGATGGAAAAATGTTGCCAAATCTAATTTAAGAGGTCAGAGAATCTAATTATTTTGATAACTGCCTTATGGCCGTGGACAGAGAGAGGGTGAATCCAACAATGAGCTAATTAGTGATCTCCACTCGTAGAATTAAGATAATCCCAAGTATCTTATAAAAGTACTGTACAAGGTGCCAGGGTGGATTCTAAATGAATATGGGTGCAAGAGTGGGCAATGTTTGCTAAAATTTCTTAGCATTCTATTGCTAAGATTGTTTTATTACTCTGAGGGCCTAACATTTAAACTTATATTTTAACTGCGAAAAAACCTGCATTCTTTTCTACATACAGAGAAAAACTGTCACCTTGGATTACATATCTGCTTAATCTAGACACTATCAAACTCACAATTTTTAAAATAACACTGTTCAAAACCCTGGCAGTTTGTGTAGAACTAGGATTTTTCTCCAAGACAAAAAATTGTTGACTGCTTAAATTTTCTCTTGACAGGACTCCTGAGTAGGCATGTGGATAAATACAGCTCTGTAGAGATGAGACATCTTTCCTTTGCTAGGAAATTTTACACTGAATTAACATTTCAATGAAAAAAAAGGGAAAAAATATACTTTTTAGCAAGGTAAAAAATTTGAAAGTAATACTCATAAAAATTTATTAAACTAGTTTTAAAAACCGTTTAAGTAATGTAAACCTTACCATATCTGACATACCATTCTAAAGCATGGAACACTGCTTTTAAAGAAAACATGGAGAAAAGCAAAATAATGGATCTGACTCGTCCAGAAAAGAAGCCTTGCACTAATGAGAAGGTAGAACAAGGACTCTTCATCATCTGAAGAGTTTTTCTAATTCATTTTTAAGAGTCATGATGATGATTTCCCTACAGGGTACCTGGAGCACCGCCAACTGTAAAAGGTTGCTTTTAGGAGTTAATGTATACTTTATAAAAATAAATAAATAAACTTGTTTTCTCCAATCTTGATCACAGTGGGATTTGAAAATGTGTGTCAGATCACTCTGATAGCTGAATGTCAGCTGCTACTGAAATCTCATTTTCATTCCTCCCTTCCAGGTGTTTTTTATTGTATAAACTTGGAAAACAGCTGCCACAAAACATGGTAAAATATCTTCCTTGTACCCCAGGTTTTAGAACCTTTAGAAAGTTTTCAAGAGAAAATTCATAGCCTTACCTTTGTAAAGCTTCTGAATTATAAATGCAATTATGTTTCTGACTAATATATTCATAATCTCTCCATATCAACTCCCTGTCCAGTGCAGGCTCAGCCACAGAGTCAGACCAGGTTGCTCAGGGCCTTCATGGGTGCAGGCTGGAAACCCTGCAAGGAGGGAGACACCATCTGCTTTGCTCTGTTGCCTGTCTATGCTTGTATTCCCAGCTTCCCTGGTCTTGCTCACTGCTTTCCTCCAGGGCCCAGAGTCTTCTCTGCAAAGCTACCCCTGGCTACCTTCCCATTACTCTTGCCCCGGGTGCATGAGGGATCCATTGGTCCCTTCCTCTCACCAGACCTTGTCCCTTCAGTTGGTAGTCCTGTCCTCATGGGCATTAACTGGTCTTTGCTGCTGGCATCTTGACAGAGTGCACTTTGTGACCTTCCCAGGTGGGACATAGAGATGCTAAACAGGAGATGCCCTATGAGACCCCCTGAGGTATCAGCCTCTAGGCAGATCCAATGTAGTTCCTACCACCCCTGAGCCTAAATGCCTAACTACCTGGTAGGACACTCACCAAGACACCCTAGCTTCCAGCTTGGCTTCAAGGACACTATAGGAGATTGTTGGAAGCTTTGCTGATATCCCCTGTTCTTCCCTTATCCAAAACTTCAGCCACTTTAACCCTGAAAGCAGCAAGGTTGGTTGGGCACCAACTCCGGCTCAATCCACCCTGACTGTTCCCATCACCTTCTTCTCCCTTATCTCCCCGGAGATATTCCCCAAGAGGATCCACTTCATGACTTTTTCAGGGATCAAAGTCAGACTGGTTGACTGTTTCCTGCACCATCTTTCCTGTCTTTTTTGAAACTGGGCATGAAGTGTGCCTTTCTCAAATTTTTTATAATCTCCCCTAACCTCTATGGATGTTTGAAGATATTTGATGGAGGCCTTGCAAGGCCACTACCCAGTTTGTTCAGGTGTAGTGACCCACCAATATCCCACAGAACTGTACGGATTCAGTTTGTATAAGTAATCTTTGAATCAATTCACATCTACTGCTGGTCCTTCTTTTCCTTAAACATTTTTTTCTAAACACAGAGACTTTGATAAAGACTGATTTCTATTTTATTTTCAAGACAATAGCATAAGGCTCTTCTGACATAAAAATTTCTGTTCAATAATGTCTATACCACAAGAAGTCTGTATTTTAGTAGACACCCAGCACAAAGGCACAATACATATGCATTTACATAAGTGCTAGAACTTCACACTTCATACTAACTTTCTGACAAAAAATCTTTCTAAAAGAATTCTGAAAACTTCACAAAAGCATAAATAATTTTATTCTTACTTATCATCATATGGACATCCATCTGTTTCATACTGAAACTTCCCTGTCTTATTATTTGACAGTCTGTAGGTATTCTGTTTTATTGAAACAGTCCCAATATAAAGAGCCTTAAAAATCACACCTGGGTGCCATACAGCGAATATTTTGAAAACAAACCATGACCACTTTTTAATTAAAATTTATATAGAGGGCAATGCATGATTTACCTAAATGTCTGTGTATTGGTAAAAGCAACAAAAAATTATCACAGGAAATCACGTGAAGAATTACGATGTGCAAACGACCCTGTTCTTCGATATGATTGCTATGTACACATCTAGTTTTTTATGTGTGCCTCGTCCGAATAGGAGGGGGAGAACAGTATTTTATGGCAAACTAAAATAAACGTATTGTCAACCATTTACAGCCCCATTCACTGAAGGGTGAAAAGCCAGCAGACTGTATTATGTATTTAGTGAGAAATGCTACTAATGGTTGGCATGGTGACTCAAGTAAGAAAGCCAGAGGGCTCACTTGTAAATCACGGTGAACTCCAGAGACAGTGCTTTGATTCCTAGAGCTCTCAGTAAAACTGAGAATCACAGCCATGGCAATTAGCAGCATGTTTCCAAAGCTCATCACAGAAAGCTCATTGCTTCTTGGAGTGTCTGCCTTCCTCGACCATGTGGTAGCAAAGGGAGAGAATACTCAGTGTGATCAACAGATTGACAATCAGCAAGAGTCTCCTAAAGGGCGTTTCAAACAGGGTTGCAATCTCATTGTAAGGCCTTGGAAAGTCACTTGATTCAATTTCTGTACCAGAGACTGGAGAAAGACAAAGAGAATCAGGAAAACTGCTATTGTGATGTTCAGGTGCAGGAATCATGACAGCAGAAGTGTAGAATTGTGTTCTTCTGTCCATCCTGCGCTAATGCACAGCATTCCAGTATATCCAGTACTTTTGTACAGAACTGTGTAAGAATTCAGTGTAAAAATTGTCATCTGCATGTCTCCAAAAAAAAAAGAATAGCTGGGTAGCTAAGCTGGGAGGGAAGAGAAGAGTGGTATCTTCCAGCACAGGAAAAAATGTGTTTACAAAAAGAGTTGTCTTAGGAAGAGGAACGTGGTGGTGGGAAGGGAAAGGAAGAGAAGTTCAGGGAAGGTAAATTCAGGGAAGGGAAGTTCAGGGAAGGGAAGTTCAGGGAAGGGAAGTTCAGGGAAGGGAAGTTCAGGGAAGGGAAGTTCAGGAAAGGGAAGTTCAGGGAAGTTCAGGGAAGGGAAATTCAGGGAAGTTCAGGGAAATTCAGGGAAGGGAAGTTCAGGGAAGTTCAGGGAAGTTCAGGGANTTCAGGGAAGGGAAGTTCAGGGAAGTTCAGGGAAGTTCAGGGAAGTTCAGGGAAGGGAAGTTCAGGGAAGTTCAGGGAAGGGAAGTTCAGGG